AAGAATCCATGTTAATTTGGTGTTTTAAGAGCTTCATGAATATTGAAAATTTTGACTGTTTGTGTGGGAGACACTTCATGGAGTGGGGCGATATTGTACATTTATGCACCTGACCTAGCACTGACGCAAATATAAGGATTTGCAAAGTTGTAACAAAATCGGATTATCGCTCCTCTTTCTATGCAGAAAATATATTTTTTGGAAATGTCGACCTTATGTGGGGGAGATACCAGAAGGAGTGGACCGATATTGCACATATCCGAACTGGATCTAAGTTTGACAAAAATATTACGATGTTCTAACTTTGGACCAAATCGGATACTCCCTTCGAGAGTTATCGTGCGCACCAGCCAGACATACAGACGGACGGACATCGCTATATCGACTCCAAACGTCCTGAAACGGAAAGAGACCTAGGGTCCAAAACTGTTATTTCAACTTGGAACGTTTTGACCGTATAAAATGATATATATACCCTCTCTAGCCATATGGCTGAGGGTATAATGATGATGTAGATGTTGTATAATTTATTGAATAAGTTACAACGGAAAAGAATATTGATTACGGCCAAGCAAAGCAGACCTTTTTTGGCTTATCTATAAATAACTTTCGCACCACACTCTATTAAAACAAGCTCCAACATTAGATTACCGCCTCAATTCACATTGTTATAATTGTACTCATTTTAAATTGATACATCATCGCGATTCCTTCCAAAAATAAACTCCTTTCACATTCACAATATAATATCCTGTTCTCTTCAATTAACCGATTTTGAAACCAACAAGTTTCAATAACCTAATTATAAATAGCTGAATAATACTAATTCCCACAAAATGGGTGAACAAGCCATAATTTTCCCATCCTCTGCCGCTGCTGTAGTCGTGTATTTTTCTGTGTGCTCTAAAACATATTTCAATAACAAGCTAATCGAAATTAAATAGCTCTTCATCCAACGCATTTTCCAAAGGGATTATGTCATTTTATCCCCGCCCCATTATAGTTGTAACAACAAAAATGCATTATAGAATTTGTATGTCAAACAACAACAACAACAACCATTAGCACCACTTGTTGCTGTTGTTGCTGTTTGATGCCAATTTTAGGATTTTGAAAATTTCATGATTCTCGTTTCAAGTATTCCCATTAGGTTTTAATGAATGTTTCATCAGTTGTTGCTATTCGTGTTAACAGCTCGTCGAAGTGCATAGAAACATGGAAATGGACATCTCTCCCGCCAACATCGTTGATGGGTTGGGGATTGGATTATGATTTGGCGAAAGAAGATAGCTGATAGAGAGAGGTAAAAGAGTGAAATTTAGGTGGAAGATGGAATTTAATAATTTGTTTTCAAGGTAAATAGAAATATGGTCTGCCAGTTGTAAAGGAAAATCATGATATATTCTAGCTATAGCAGATCTGAAATAGATTTCCTGGGTAGACAAGAATTGTCAAAGATCTTGGGTCTATAAAATAACTGCAAAATGACGTCTGCTTATGAGAACCTGAGAAAATCTATAGATCTTCTCATAGAAGATCTGTAGATCTTCTCATAGAAGATCTGTAGATCTTCTCATAGAAGATCTGTAGAGCTTCTCATAGAAGATCTGTAGAGCTTCTCATATAAGATCTGTAGAGCTTCTCATAGAAGATCTGTAGAGCTTCTCATAAAAGATCTGTAGAGCTTCTCATAGAAGATCTGTAGAGCTTCTCATAGAATATCTGTAGATCTTCTCAAAGACGAGCTGCAGATTTTCTCATAGAAGAGATGCAGATCTTCTCATAGAAGAGCTGTAGATCTTCTCATAGAAGATTTGTAGATCTTCTCATAGAAGATTTGTAGATCTTCTCATAGAAGATTTGTATACCTTCTCATAGATGATTTGTATAGCTTCTCATAGAAGATCTGTAGATCTTCTCATAGAAGATCTGTAGATGTTCTCATAGAAGATCTGTAGATCTTCTCATAGAAGATCTGTAGATCTTCTCATAGAAGATCTGTAGATCTTCTCATAGAAGATCTGTAGATCTTCTCATAGAAGATCTGTAGAGCTTTTCATAGAAGATCTGTAGAGCTTCTCATAGAAGATCTGTAGAGCTTTTCATAGAAGATCTGTAGAGCTTCTCATAGAAGATCTGTAAATCTTCTCCTAGGAGATCTGTGGAGCTCTTTCTAAAAGATTTGTAGATCTTCTCCTAGAAGCTCTGTAGAGCTTCTCATAGAAGATCTGTAGAGCTTCTCATAGAAGATCTGTAGAGCTTCTCATAGAAGATCTATAGAGCTTCTCATAGAAGATCTGTAGAGCTTCTCATAGAAGATCTGTAGAGCTTCTCATAGAAGATCTGTAGAGCTTCTCATAGAAGATCTGTAGAGCTTCTCATAGAAGATCTGTAGAGCTTCTTATAGAAGATCTGTAGAGCTTCTCATAGAAGATCTGTAGAGCTTCTCATAGAAGATCTGTAGAGCTTCTCATAAAAGATCTGTCGAGCTTCTCATAGAAGATCTGTAGAGCTTCTCATAGAAGATCTGTGGATCTTCTCATAGACGAGCTGCAGATTTTCTCATAGAATAGATGCAGATCTTCTCATAGAAGAGCTGTAGACCTTGTCATGGATGATCTGCAAATTTTCTTATAGAGTAAAAATCTACAGATTTTTTATGAGAAAAAGTCCACCGATTTTCTATGAGAAAAACTAGGGATTTTCTAGGAGAAAATCTATGAGAAAATCTACAGATTTTCTATGAAAAGATCTACTGATCTTCCATACAATATCGACAGATTTTCCATACGAAATTGCAAAATGTCTCCAGATTTTCTAAGAGAAAATGTCCAGATTTTCTATAAGAATATCTCCACATTCTCTATGAGAAAATCTGCAGATTTTCAATGCGAAAAAAAACTACAGATTTTCTATGAGGAAAAGTCTACAGATTTTCTTTGACATTTACCTTCGCTTTTTCTTCCAAGTATTGCATACTTTTAGGCTGTTGATAAATTTCCAATGAATTTCTCAATTTTTATGTTGAAAGAATTCAATTTTTACATCTACGCTTTAAAATTACATAACTCCGCCGTTGCTGAATTTGAATTTCCATATTTCATTCACTTGATACGTTGGTCGCGCTTCAATGCACCACAGCAACACTTAATTGGACCCGCGAGAATGGTTGGATGGATGTTGCCAGCCAAACACAAAAACTGCAGCGAAAAACACAACATTTCATGGATGTTAACCAGGCTTTAAATAGCTGCTGCAGTTCATGGCATTTCTCTTAATTACAATGGAGAGAAGTTCTGGCATTTAACATACAGTCACACACACACACTCGTACTTACCCCCCACCTACAGCATCAGCAATACCATAACTGAATGTAGTGATTTTCGACTGTAATATGGCCATAACACACACACCCACACACCCAAAGATGGCCATTTAAATGTCATTTAAATGCCTTAAAAAATTGAAGCAACAAAATTGTCATAAATTTAATTATGGAAGGAAAATATTTTCCATTGTATGTATGGGTGTGTGTGAAAAATTTTCCTCACACCTGTTTGCCTGAGAATTGTTATTGGAAGTCACCACAGGGTAATGAAAGTGTAATTTTCGTCCTTACCAAATGCCAATTATGTGGTGTAATATATGGGCATTGCATTTTTTTCTAAAAAAAAAAAACACTTAAAAAAACTGTAAGTTCGGCTGGGCCGAACTTTGAATATCCTCCACCATTTAGAAGGAATTAGAACGATTTTCTAAAATAAAATCCATAAAAAATTCTGTCAAAATCTTAAAATACCGAATATCGGAAGGTACCGTAATATTGAGGGATATACGATATTGTGTTACAGTACTCACCAAAAAAAATCCTTGTGTAGAGTTTCAGACAATTCCGTTGAAAAATGTGGCTAAAGTCATCAAAATACGGAATATAGGTGGGTGCCGTTATATGGGGCCTATATGATATCGTGGACCTATATAGATAATTATCTTCCAGGGGATAAAGTGCTCACAAGGAACTCCTTGTGTGTATTTTCAGACAATTCCGTTGAAAAATGTGGCTAAAATCGTCAAAATGCTGAATATCGGGGGATACCGTTACATGGAACCTATACTATCGTGTACCTTTCAGGGGGTAAAGTACTCAGAAAGAACTCCTTGTGTAGAATTTCAGACAATTCCGTTGAAAAATGTGGCCAAAATCATTAAAATACCGAATATCGGGGGGTACCGTTATAGGGGGGCTATACGATATCGTGGACCTATAAAGCCCATCTTCGAACTTGAACTGCCTGCAGACCAAAGACAGATCTGTGCAACATTGTAGATTTTCCTATCTTAATTCGTTTTGACTGTAGAGTGAATACAACAGACGGACGGGCGGACAGACGGATAGGGCTAAATCGTCTTAGAATTTTACGCAGATCAAGAAGATATATACTTTGTTGGGTCTAAAATTATTATTTCGATGAGTTACAAACGGAATGACGAACTTAATATACCCTCCATACTAAGTATGGTGGAGGGTATAAAAAACATTATGAGCAAAAGTTTGTCCAAGGTCCCCCCAGAGGGTTAAATCCCACATTTTTTTTTTTCGAACTGCAATATTTATCAATTTATTTTCATGTAAACATAACTTGTGAAAGTTTTACGAAATGTGACACCCACAAATGCCACTTAGCCAGAAAAACTGTTGCCTTAACCAACGAAATTGAGATGAGGTTTTGAGGTGCGGTTCAGTGAAATGGAATGGAAATGTATTTCGTTCAAGGATGCAATACTGTTTACGTGCGTGCAGAATTCTTGGAAATACGGAACTCAAAATTGTGTCACATAAAACGGAAAAAAATAAAAAGTTGCAAACATTTTAACAACAACAAAAACAACATCGTTCACACAGCCATTCACTTTTGAAAACTGACATTTGAATTTCAATTAATTTTTCACTGACAACAATTTTCCCTCTCTCTCTCTCTTTCTCTTCCTTCCCTTGCAGCATCACCATGCGACTGGATACAAATTCAAATGAAGATTTCAAGCCGTTGGGTTCAACATTTTGTGTAAGTGTCGACGTTGCCGTTTTGGCCTTAAACCCCAAAAGCCATAGCCACAGCCACAGCCAAGGCCGAACAAAAATTCAAATTGACTCTCCATCACTGGAAGCTGTGGCAAAATTGTTTTTGGATTTTTTGTTATTTTTTTATAGAGTGACAGTTTTTTGTTTTCCTCCTCTCTCTCACAGTTAATTAAACCAGAAACTTTACCCACCTGGGGTGGTTCAGCCAAAACAGACACAAGACTGCCAATAACTGATTATTCCACAATAGGAGGCCCGCGTCACAACTGCAGTCCCTTTCCCATATCCCGTGATGTCAATAATCGTTTTATCCTCTGGTAAGTTTTGAACAAAAAAAAAAACAACAAAATGCGATTTTTATTTCTAATTAATTGAATTTGTTTGTCAACGGGAATGACCACTGACACATACACACAAACATTCATTTATATGTGTGTGTTCAAATGTAATACAAAAAAAAAAAAATAAAAAGAATTTTTTAATTGAAATTGACATTGAATTGTTGTATTTGGATCCGATAGGAAATAGTTTTTCCATTTCAATTTCATGTTTTCTCCCTTGTCTTTTTGCAACAGGGACGGTGATATCGCCTCTCTAGATGTGGACGTCATAACCAATACAACCGATGAGACTTTAACCGAAAGCAATATTGTATCGGATCGTATTCTAAGTGTAGCCGGTAATCAATTGAAAGAAGATTTAGCTCACAATGTAAGAGGTAAGTGCATCCATGTGTTTGGGAGAATATGAATGTAATCCATGAATACGGAATATGTTAGGTTTAAGGGAAGAACCGGAAAATGAAAGATTTTTATCAAGGAGAATAAAATAAAATAGAAAACTATTCCAAAAATAATACCCTTCACCATTTCGAAGGAACTTGCAAAATGTAAAAAAATCCGTTGAAAAAATTAAAAAAAGGAATTTATGGGTCTATACGAAAACTCTGATCAATATGGGTGAGATAAAACAAGTAAAAAAGCTGTAAGTTCGGCCAAGCCGAACTTTGGTACAAATTTGACATTTTTCAAAAAATTAATATCCATTAAAAATTCTGTTAAAATCTTAAAAATACCGAATGTTGCCATATTTTAGGGTCTATACGACGACGTGGACCTGCATACGTAACTTTTGTCATAAGCGTGCAGAGACAATTTTCTGGCATTACGAGCTTCAAATACAAAATATGAAATAATTCCGGTAAATAATGTCGCTAAAATCATCAAAATACCGTATATGGGGGGTACCGTTATATGGGTACTATAGGAAGACGTGGACCTGCACAGACAATTTTCTGTCATAGGCTGTAGTATTCATTGCGAACTTCAAATACTAAATTTAAAATAGTTCCCGTAAATGATGTCGCTAAAATCATCAACCGAAAACCGGGGGTACCATTATATGGGGGCTATACGAAGACGTGGACCTGCACAGAAAATTTTCTGTCTTAGGCGGTAGTATCCATTTCCAAGTTCAAATACTAAATTTGAAATATTTCCGGAAATAATGTCGCTAAAATCATCAAAATACCGAAAATCGAGGGGAACCGTTATATGGGGGCTATACGAAGGCGTGGTCCTAATCGCCCATTTTCTGTCTTATGCTGTAATATCCATTTCGAATTTCGAGTACCAAATTTGAAACAATTCGCTAAAATCATCAAACCGCATATCGGGAGGTACCGTATCGGGAGGTACCGTTATATATGGGCTATACGAAGATGTGGACCTACATGGCCCATTTTCAATACCAAATGTTCTGCAGACATAATACACATTTGAGTAAATTTTTATCAACTTACTTCATTTCGTTCGGAAGCTAGAGTGATTTCCACAGACGGATAGACGGACAGACGGACGGACATTGCTAAATCGACATAGAATTTTATGCTGATCAAGAATATTTATACTTTGTGGGGTCTAAAAAATATATTTCGAGGTGCTACAAACGCAATGACAAACTTAATATACCCTCCATACTATGGTGGAGAATATAAAAACTTCAACAAAGTCAAACGCCATAATTTTTAAATGTTTTTTTTTTTTTAATTTAATTGAATGGAAGCAAAAAATGTCGGAAATATATGACACGAATTATGGCCTTTAAACGGCCAATGAAACCGTCACACGCTGCCCGAATGTTGCTCTGCGGTATTTTAGCCCATTTTCAGCGAAGCGCTTGCTTGAGGGGATCGACACTATGGTATATTTTGGTACCAACCTTGCTTCCCAAAATAATCCAGATACAATAGTCCAACGGATTGGTATCCGGAGATTTTGGTGGCCATTGTGCGCTGAAAACGAGGCGATGAACCCCATTTTGTAACCATTCTTGGGTGTCGCATTCTGAGTGCGATGGTGCTAAGTCCTGTTGGAATGTTCAAGGTTTGCTGCCAAAATGTTTGCTTGCCTTTAATACACCTTCCAGAATATTTTCGCGATAATATTTTGCATTTATTCTTATGCCACGATCGATTAATACGAGCGGAGCGACCATCGGCTGTTATGGCGGCCCACACCATCACCATAGCCGGCGCTTGAATTCTGGTGGCCAACCGAAGGTGCACATTTTCAGCTGACCTCAGCTGGCAAGTAAACACGATCCTTTTTTTTTTGTTTACAAACGGCTTGACAACGAATGTTTTCTCATCGGAAAAAAACAAATTCGACAGTTCACCACTTTCGGCCAAGCGGAGCAACTCTTTAGCTCTTTTGAGTCTATTTTCCTTCTGTTGCGGTGTAAGTTCTTGCAATTTTCGGAATTTCAATGGCTTTACCCAGAGCTCATTTTTGAATATTTTCCGAGTGGAATATTGCGATATGTACAGCTCACGATCCATTTTCGGCCACTGCGATTCGGGTTTCGTTCAAGTCGCTTCTTTCTTTTCGAACCATTTCTGCTGATGTTGCTATTTTCTTCCGTCCACTTCCTTGACATCGGGCTACGCTACCAGTATCACGGTAAAAGATTTATTCATATTTAAATGCTGGACTGCTGTAACTATAGCCACTAGTGGTTTTCCAGCCAAATATAAAGAAATCACATTATCACGCTTGAATTATATCACGAATAACTTTTCTTCTGGATAATTTTCACCAAAATGCTTTTGTAAACAATATAATGAGCTGTCACTGGAATAATTTTAACAGCTGTCGCACGAGTGGCTTAGAAATGACAGCAGTCTGAAGTTGGTTGCACTATTTTCATCTCACCCAGTATACCATCTCTAGCCATATGGCTGAGGGTATAAAAATCAATAATATACTGCGGATAATTCCAAAAAGAATTCAGTTATCCTGGATTATTTTTCGAATATTTCCTTAAAATAGAATATTCTTTACTCAAATGAGGCTTCAACAAATATTCTTTTAAAATATTCCCAAATCCATGTTTCTTTGATGAAAAATATAAAATTGAAAAAGTCCTTTGAAAAGTTTTTTTTTTTTTAATCTAATCCATAGCTCGGATATTGCTGCAAAAATAAATTTGAAAAGCTCCGATATTCCTTAAAAAACCGCGATCATAACTTCTAAAGTATTTTAAAAATTATTCTTGAATATCTTTAATTAAAGTTCTTATAGTCCTCCAAATTATTACTTATAAGTTCACTATTATATGTGCGATAGTCTCTGACTGCAATATTCTTTAAAAACCCAGATCGTGACTTTTAGAGCCTTTGACGAAAAAAAATTGTAGACCTTAAAGAAATTTATAGAAAATCAACGATTATACCCTGAAAGGCCTTCAAACAACATTCTAACCACGACTGTGATGTAAACAGTACTTAAAATTTATTCTTCAAATAACCCGTTATTATGGCTATAATAATGCTTGCAACATAGTCCTGAAAATCCACTTTTACAGCTTCGAGTGTTCTCAAAAAAAAAAAAATGAAAAATTCAAGAAAATATGGATTTTTTTACCCTCAGCCATATGGCTAGAGAGGGTAGATTTCATTTGGTACGGCCAAAACGAATCGAATCGAAATAAGACCTTAGACCCTAGGACTCTTTGGCCCAAATCCGGTTCAGGACATTTGGAGTCGATCTAGCGATGTCCGTCCATCGGCCCACTCCGTCTGCAACTCCCCCACAGGAATTCGAAATTGTCAAAAAAAAAAAAATATTTTATTGCACAGAATGAGAAGTGATAGTCTGATTTTGCTCCATCTTTGTAAATACTAATATCTCCATCTGTGCTACGTCTGGTGCAAAAATGGACAATATCCGACCACTCCATCAAGTTCCTCCCCCACAAATGGTCAAAATTTTGAATAATTAGAACTCTTATAAAATGTGATATATGAGTCCAATGGTCTTCAAATACACTCATCACAATATTTTAATCAACCCAAAGTCTGGCGTGAATATGGAATATGTCGGTTCATTTCTTTCTAGTACCTCCCTCACAAAAGGTAAAAACTTTAAATAATCAAAAGAATCATAAAATTCGAAATAAGTATTTGATTCTCTTCATATTTCACACATCCCATTATTTCTAATGGGATGTGTGAAGATGAGATATGTCGGTCCACTACTTCTGATACCTCGCTCACTAAAGGTCGAAATTTTGAATATCCATTAAACTCATAAAACGAAAAATTAACATCCGATTGCATTTAGACTTGGGACATGAAAATATTTCTATCAACACAGAATCTGTTATAAAAACGGTAGAGATCGGACCATTCCTTCTGGTACTTCCCCCACAAAGCATCAACGTTTTGATTAACCAAAACGTTTATAAAATCCGAAATAAGCATCAGATTCTCTTTATATTTCACACATTTCATTATTTTCACTAACAAAAGATTTGTTGTGAAGATGGGATATATCGGTCCACTCCTTCTTGTACCTCTCACACTCCCCAGTTGCTCAAATATTTGAATATCCACGAAGTTCATAAAAAGCAAATTCCGATTCGCGATTCCATTCAAGACTTGGCACATCTCAATATTTCCATCAACACAAAATATGTTATAAAAATGGTAGAAATCGAACCATTTCCTCAGGTACCTCCCCCACATAGGGTTCAAGATTTTGAAAAGCGGAATAAGCATGCCACTCTTTAAAAGTCACACATACAAACATTATTGCTTAAAAAAAAGATATGTTGTTAAGATGATTTATATCTGCGAACCCCTTCTAGTAGCTCACTTACTATCACCCCGACCGTCGAAGAAAAATCTTATAAGATATCAATGATGATAGCTTCGATAGTCCTGGAAAAAACTCTTTTGCAAATTTTCGATTATAGCTCTTAGATTCCTTTATTAATATTTTACAAAAACTGTGTTAAAAATTCGCCATTTGCTTTTTAATCAAACTTCGCTTATTACCCTGATATTCCTTAAAAAATATTTTAATTTTTAGGCTTTAGTTGTTCTCCAAAGACCATTCCTTACCTTTGTACCGTGTAAGCATATTTTAAATTATATTTTTTGTACTTTCAGAATGTCGTACCGGTGAAGTACGAGTCACGAAGGGTTACAACTTACCCGCCAAATATATTCTACACACAGTGGGGCCGTCATTTAAAGAAAAATTCAAAACTGCTGCTGAAAATACTTTACATTGTTGTTATAGGTAAGTGACTGCCTCAAACTGCTCTTCCTCCACACACATATTTGACATTTTCTATCTCTCTCCCTTCTCGTCTCCCCACCAGAAATGTTTTATGCAAAGCCAAAGAACTGAATTTACGAACAATTGCCGTTTGCAATATTAGCACCAATCAGAAATCTTTTCCAGCTGATTTAGCCGCTCACATTGCTCTAAGTATATTTGAATGTCATTTCAAAACTGTTTCATATTGTGATGATATTAAAAATTTCGAAATTCTTACAGGAACAATTCGTCGTTTTTTGGACAAATTTACAACACAAGTGGTGATATTCTGTGTTAGTCCCCACGAACGGGGCATCTATGAGGTGCTGGCACCTTTGTACTTCCCTCGCGACAACCTGGAGGAACGTAGCGCCTTATGGCAGTTGCCCAAGGATATTGGCGGTGAATATGGAGAGCCTCAGCATCCGGATCGTCAAATACGCATTATTCGCAATCCACAACATAGTGTTCTGATGCGTCATCATGGTAGGTGGAAAATGTTTTTTTCGAAGAAAATTTTATTTGGAAATTGATTTTTTTTGGGGTGGGAATTTTGGGGAATGCAAGAAAATTGAAAGGAGTTGAAGAGATTAAATAATGTCTATAATATTCCATAACTAAAGCTTAAACACACGTTTAAAATACTTTTTCAAAATCCACGAATATGTTTTTCAATTCTATATTACCGAGGATTTTTGAAAATAAAAAATGCGCCATTGTAGATCCAACAGTCCTCAAAAAAAATAGAAACAAAACGTAAAAATAAAAAACAATAAAATTTATAAAAACTACCCAGGTAGATTTGGAATATCCATAAAGCTCATAAAACGCTAAATTGACATCCGTTTGCATTCAGACTTGACATCTCAATATTTCTATCAACACAAAATCTGCTATAAAGAAGCTAATGATCGGGCGCCATTCCTCCCCCACAAAGGGTAAAAATTTTGAATTACCAAAATAATTATAAAATCCGAAAAAAGCATCCGGTTCTCGTCATATTTCACACATCCAAATATTTCTACTAACACACAATCTGATGTAAAGATGGGATATATCGGTCCAATCCTTCTGGTACCTCTAAAAATTTTGAATACCCATGAAGCTCATAAAACGCAAAATTAACATCCGATTCCATTTAGACTTGACACATCTTAATATTTTTATCAACACAAAATCTGTTATAAAGATAGTAGAGATCAGAAATAGCATCAGAAAGTTTAGATTTGTTCAAATTGTTAACCTTTGGCACGAATTATGGCCTTCAAGTGGCCAATGAAACCGTCACACGATGCCCGAATGTTGCTCTGCGGTTTTTGGGTCTATTCCCTGCGAAGCGCTTACTTGAGGTGATCAACACTTTGGTATTTTTTAGTGCCAACCTTGCTTACCAAAATACTCCAGACACAATAGTCCAACGGATTGGTATCCGGAGATTTTGGTGGCCATTTTGCGGTGGAAATGAAGCGAGAAACCTCATTTTGCAACCATTCTTGGGTGGCGCGAGCTGAGTCCTCTTGGAATGTCCAAGGTCTGCTGCCAAAATGTTTGCGTGCCCATGGCTTTAATACAACCTTCAGAATATTTTCGCGATAATATTCGGTATTTATTCTGATAATACGAGCGGAGAGCAACTATTGGCTGTTATGGTGGCCCACACCATTACCATGGCCTGCGCTTGAGATCTGGTCACATTCTGAGTCGATTTATGCATGTTCGTCCGTCCGTCTGTCTGTCCAAAGTACAGTTCGCATTTATTGCCCGATCCAGATGATATTTTGCACACATCATTTGTTCGATCTAAGGACGAACCCTATTGAAATTGGAAATAATCGGAAAAAAATTAGATATAGCTCGTCCGATTTTTCTTTTTATTGTGCACCAAACGTGTAATATCAGCCCGAATAGTATGGAATTTTGCACATACAACCAAATTAGGCCTGCAAATAAGTATGCCAAATTTGATTGAAATCGGTTTAGATATAGCTATAGCTCCCATGTATATGTCCATCCGATTTGTCATCCACAGCCGTAATATGCACTCTGTAACAACGATATTCAGGGAAATATATCAAATACAGGTCAGAAATACCTTTGCTAAATTTTATCGAGATCGGTTCAGATTTGGATATAGCTCCAATATATAACTTCGTCCGATTTACTTTTTATTGTGGACCAAACGTCTAATATTTGTCCAAATGGGATGGAATTTCACACATACGACCAAATGAAATCTAGAAGCTAGTATGCCAACTTTGGTGAAGATCAGTTCAGATATAGCTATAGCTCCCATATATATTGTTCATCCGATTTGTTGTATTTGTCCTCCACAGCCGTAATATGCACTCCGTAACAACGATATTCAGGGAAATATATCAAATACAGGTCAGAAATATTTTTGCCAAATTTTATCGAGATCGGTTCCGATTTGGATATAGCTCCCATATATATATTTATCCGATTTCCAATTAATTCTGCACCAAATGGGCAATACAAGTCCGAATTTAAAAGATACAAATGCTACGGCATATTTAGTCCTTTGAACTTTAAATTATAATTATAATCATAGCGTGTATGATTGAATTCTCCCATATTAACTTTTAATTGTTATGTGGAGCTCTACTAAATTAGCAAAGTGCTGTAGGGTATCATAAAGTCGGCCCGCCCGACTTTAAGGCTTTTTTTACTGGTAAAAAAAAAAAAAATTATGTATTTGACAATCCTCGGAGAGATTTCTTTAAAAAAATGCGATTACAGCTGTAATGGCCCTCTGTAAAAGCTAGAAGCACAACTCTAAAATACCTCTGTAATATAATATGTTTAAATTCACTATTAGAACTATCAGAACCATCATAACCGTAATAGTTCTGAGTAAAATATTTTATAAAAATTTAAACCAATTTAGGTCTAGTAGTCCTTGAAGAAAAAATCCTTAAAATATCCACGATTATTGCTTTGATAGTCTCTGGGAGAAGCACTCTTTAACATCCACAACTTAAACTTTTATAGTCCTCGAATATGTTTTTGATATTAATATTAACATGTAAAAAAGCTGTAAGTTCGGCCGGGCCGAACTTTGAATTTGAATTCTTTGAATACCCTTCACCATTTGGTCCAATTTAACAATTTCCAAAAAAAAAATAAAATCCTTTAAAAATTCTGTTAAAATCGTAAAAATGCCGAATGTAGCCGTATATTAGGGTCTATACGACGACGTGGACCTGCATAGTCATCTTTTGTCACAAGCTATTACAATATTCAAATGCGAAATTAAAATAATATAGCTAAAATCATCAAAATACCGAATATAGGGAGATACCTGGTACGTGGACCTGCACAGACAATTTTCTATCAGAGGCTGTAGTATCCATTACGAACTTCAAATAGAAAATTTGAAATAATTCCCGTAAATAATGTCGCTAAAATCCTCAAAATACCCAATATTGGGAGGTACCGTTATATGGGGGGCTATACGAAGACGTGGACATACATGGCTCATTTTCTACATCCTAAATGAACTTCAAATACCAAAATTGAAACAATTCTGGTAAATAATGTCGCTAAAATCATCAAAATACCGAATATCGAATATAGGTACTGTTATATGAGGGATATACGAAGACGTGGACCTACATGACCCATTTTCAATACCAAAATTCCTGTAGACAAAATACACATTTGAGTAAAATTTTATCAACCTACTTCATTTCGTTCGGAAGCTAGAGCGATTTCCACAGACGGACAGACGGGCGTACATTGATAAATCGACATAGAATTTTATGCTGATTGTGGGGTGTAAAATGTATATTTCGAGGTGTTACAAACGGAATGACAAACTTAATATACCCTCCATACTATGGAGGATGGTATAATAAATATACAAATTAAAAACACTAATAATATTTAAACTAACATTAAAAAATACAATATGGTAACTCTGTTAATCCCTTAAAATATATAGTCTCCAGAAAATAATTCTTGAAATAAAATTTTTAGCTCTGAGAGCCATTTGTTGACCATTTTCTTCAAATAGACCCTTGTTCACAAATTTTGCAAGTATTTCTACCTTGACCAATGTACGTTTGTTTATCGCCCAATTGTTGAATTCTGAATCGGCAATAAATCAGTTTACCTTTCGCGCTACAACTACCGCTACTCTATTCAATGTCTCCCTCACTCTCTTCCTCCTTTCTTCCACCAATTCAGACAATCTTTCTTTTCCATATGTCGTCGACAATTTTTGCCATTGATAAGATTACAACTGAAATAAAGCCAATTATTATTCTGGCCTAATCGAGAATTGTTTGGTTGAAAGAAAACAGTTTGGTTTAGTTGATTGTTTATATTCCGGGCGACAACGTGTGCTTAAAAGCTGTTCGTATTTCAAGTTAAAAACAAAAGAAAACAATCCAAAAACATTTAACAAAAAATAGTTCGCGTTGTAAAGAAACAGTTTAAAAGTGCAAAGCGCAAAATAAAAATTGTGCATTCGACGGTTATAAATTTTAAAATATGTACGTAAACAAAAAAAAAAAAAAACAACAAAATACCTATGATTCATTGAATTTATGATTAGTGATAAGAAAATGTTGATAAAAATCAAAGTTTGCAATGTATGATGGAGACAGAAATCAGACGAAAAGATAAGAAATAAATCTGACATCATTGTGGATAAATTTCCCTTTAATACCGAGTGACAGTTTTGGGGATAATTGCTAAACATAAAAAAAAAAAACAAAACAAAATTGTCTGGCGAGCCGACCTTATGGTACCCTGCACTTTTGTTTATTACAAAGAGACACGTCAGTTTAAAAACAAGGACAAATAAATATACAACCAGTAAAGAAAGTCTTAAAGTCGGGCGGGGCCGACTTTATGATACCCTACCCCACACGCTATGATTATAATTTAAAGTTCAAAGGACTAAATATGCCGTAGCATTTGTATCTTTTAAATTCGGATTTGTGTTGTCCATTTGGTGCACAATTAATTTGAAATCGGATAAGGATATATATATATGGGAGCTATATCCAAATCGGAACCGATCTCGATAAAATTTGGCAAAGATATTTCTGAGCTGTATTTGTTATGTTTCCCTGAATATTGTTGTTACAGAGTGCATATTACGGCTGTGGGTAAGAAATACAACAAATCGGATGAACAATATATATGGGAGCTATAGCTATATCTGAACCGATCTTCACAAAATTTGGCATACTAGCTTCTAGACTCAATTCGGTCGCATGTGCCAAATTCCATCCCATTTGGGCAAATATTACACGTTTGGTGTACAATAAAAAGTAAATCGGACCAAGTTATATATGGGAGCTATATCCAAATCTGAACCGATCTCGATAAAATTTAGCAAATGTATTTCTGAGCTGTATTTGATATATTTTCCCAAATATCGTTGTTGCAGAGTGCATATTACGGCTGCGGAGGACAAAAATAACAAATCGGATAAACAATATATATATGGTAGCTAT